CCCCCGCCACCGCCCGCGGACAATGGCCAAATTCCGCCGCCCGCCCACAGGGTGGGGCGAGCACGCAAAGGCAAATCAACAACGTATATGGAAAATAACAACAGTCTGAAATAACGCAACTGGCCCCACCACTCGCCTCCAGGGTCCACTTCTGGGCGAGCCAGGGGCCAAGGGCGCGACAAGGGCAGGCCCTTAGGCCACGGGCACTTACCATTCATGATCTGAGATCTCTGTTGCTTGAAGACCTTAATGCAGGGTTCACCGATTTTAGGGGGTAGGCCCGAAGTGTAGGCCCCGCAACGAGTACAAAAAACCAAGGGTACATTAGTCTCTACAAATCTACACACATGTAGGCAGTGCGGGGGAGAGACTTCTAATTCGACCACATGCCTAAGGCTGGGGACAAGAGCCGCGCACGCACGCTTCGCGCTTTTACGGCGGAAACCACGGGCGCACGTGACGCACCTCCACGCCGACCCAGTTCAGAGCACACAATGGGGGCGACCACTGGCAACAGCCCTCGGACGGGGGACGGTTGGATTACGGGCTAGAGCCCCGAACCACTCTTTAGCTTTCGGGAGCTCTCAGAGAGTATTGTCCATGCCTGCAGCTACTTCCTCCGAGCCTGCTAGGCACACCTCATACTTATTGATATCCTGGAGTGCATCAGGGTGATGACGTTTTGCGCCATCTTTAGCAAGCTCATCTGCCTTGTCGTGGCCCCGTTGGTGGCGCAAGGCAGTACCTGTGAGCTCGCCCTTCATGTGGTTCTTGACTGGTTTCAGACTCCACTTGGGAACTGCTGAGCGATCAAAGGCACGCCATACTTCTGACAGCGGACTGGCACCTGAAATAGCCTTCCACGGATCTCGGCATCCCCCTAGAAGCGCCTCGCAACCAATGTGAATCCAATAATCGGCCGCGCCTGGGTCGCCCTCCTCTCCTAGCTCGAGGTGCGTGAGTACAGAAAGGAAGGCATACACTTCTCCAAAAACCGAGCTCTGGGGAAGAAAGCCAGGAACATTCTCATATATGCCTCTGATGAATCCTCCCTTCTGGTTGACAGAAACGAAACCCCATCCCGCTCTAGAAACGCATTCGTAAGTACCTCCATAACAAGACCCATCGCCGCAAAGAAACTCGCTCTTGTTGCAACGGACGGTTCGATGGGCCCGTCAGGACCGACATAAAAGATCTTCCCTTCCCAGGCGGGTTCGTGCAGCTCGTTCGGCGCTGGGAGCCACAGGCAACGGAAACGCGGATCCTCGGGCCCTGCCTCCAGTCCTGCTGCAGAACACGATTCGGCGGGTTGGTGCTTGACACGACGGTCTGGCAGCGCTGGGCATTCAAAACGCCTGTGCCAGACTTCGTCGATGGTGCCATGCACTGCGTCTCGACAGAAGGGGCACAGCGGCCCCAGCTGGTAGCCCCACTTGTGCAGGTGACTAGCCGTCACGAAAGACCGTGTGAACACTTGCTTCATCGCGCGTTTTTTGGAGCTTGCTGGGACGCTTGGAGTTCCAGAAGGACCTCGGGGGTTCGACCCAAAGGCCCCGCTCCAATATCTCGGACGCTCGCTCGTGTCCACTGTCTTTAAGCCTAGCCTGCACATTCTGCTGCACGCACTCCTTACCTAAGCCCCAGACGAAGTATTTGCAAACTGAAGCGCGAGGTAGATCTGAAAAAAAACGCAAGGAGAACCGTCGCGCATGGTTAAAAATCCCCCAGGACCACGTACCGACCATCCAGCTTTGGAAACCCACTGAAGCATGTCCCCCACAGGTCCCCAGGCCAGACAGTTCCAAGACGCTTTAGGTCGAATCTCCTGGAATCGGTGAACCTCGTTGACCAGTTTGACCATATTCCCAGCAACAACACAGTCCCCTGGCCGAAGCTTATCATCCGTGGACAGCCAGACCTCTTCCGCTTAACGAATTAAAATAGCGCCTGCATGCTTGACTGGGTCCTTGCTGGGCTCCAAGGCACGGGCGAGGTTGAGGTCTGCACCGCACGTTGTGAAGCCCAGAAAGCCGGCTGCGTGTGACCTGCGCTTCCTAATCTCTCGGGGCGTCCACCCCACCACCTCCTCACCGTAGAACGTGGCCGGTTTGGCTCCACAAAACCAAATATAGGCCCTGGATATCCTAGGTTTTTTCAAACTCCGAATCTTGGCTGATCGCTGTTTCCGTTTCCTCCACCTCTCCGTTAGTTTGGCCTTAGCCCGGGAAATGGACTTGGTCTTGCCTGGCGCAAAATCCACGCCCAAGTTGATGATGGAAATATTGAACTCACCAGCGTACTGGCCCAACTGGCTCTGCGCGACCTCGACAGGCTCCGCGCTGGTGCCAGTGATCGCAAACTTGTTAAAGGCAAAGCGCAACTTGAAGAAATATGACAGCTGCTTTACCAGGAAAGCCATTGCCAGGGCTATACTTCTTACCCAATTTTTGATACAACTATCGTACATATTCAACGAGACATCGTCTATGTGCACAGTGGGTCCAAATCTGAGCTCCAGGAATCGATTCACCGTGGGTACGCAACAACATTTTATTTCGAACGTAGCAGTACTACTACCAGCCACAATCCCTTGCCCAGGCTCCAGTTCCTCCGAAACCACCCCCTCCATACTCAATACGCGTGCCCACCGACATGTGTGAGTAGCAAAGCGCGCTGTTATTGCCAATCCGTGCATGCACGTACAGGTCGCGGGTTGTGCACATGGTCATAACATTGCTTAAGGTCACCAAGTACCGTTAAAACTACTTGATGATCTGCTACAGCCAAGTCTCCACTGATCTGTTGCCTCCAAACCGCGTCGGTAACACTGCGACCAAGGGGCCATCGAGAAAACACCTTGATCGGAAACTTTCTTTTCCCATCTTTGCAGTGCCTAAATTGCCAGCTAGAGGTCATTATGATGAGGCTCTGACAGCATGCGATCGAACGCCTGCCTGAGACGGGCTTCTGGAACAAGGCCACTGCAAGCTTGTGCATCCAACTTGGCGTGGAGCCTAGCACGGTAATGAGGCCCATGACCAGGCTGCAAACTGCAAGCGCAGGGCGGCTTAAAATATGATAATGCCGTGGATGAAATCCATCAGCTGCAATCGTCGATCGTGCTCAAAACCACAATTTCTTCGGGGTCGGGAGGTTCCGGGGAGGTCATGTCGGGGGGCCACTTGATCTCCTCATTCTCCTCTTTCTGATCCTCTCCCCATGCCTTCCTCTATTTCTGGGCCTCATCCGAAGGCTGGCTGGTGAGACACGACGTGTGCATACCGACGTCCGTGGGCCGACGCTTGTCGCTCGCCACCCTTGTGTAGGCATGCGCCCACTTCGCTCCACCTGACAATGCCTCCATGCACCAGTCTCCCCATTTCTGAGCCTTTTCGTGTTTGTCACGGGGGAGAAAGATGGAGGCCATGAACGAAGCAAAATGATGAAGCGCTAAGAGTGACCCCGCACGAACCTCGAGAACATTCAAAGCACCTGGGGCTCGAAGAGGAGAGACTGCCTCGCGGAGTAGGGCAGCCCATAGCTCTAGGCCACCAGGAACATGGCATTTGACAATGCCCCCCGCCCTCGTCGCTGACCAAGTCGAGCGAACCGAGCTTCTAAAGTAATATGAAATCTGGAAGTACTTACCGCTCCGAAGTAGACTGCATAGCTCATGCGTCCTCTGAGATAACCAGTGCATAGCACGATGCGGGTTCCTGGTAGGGGACCTCTTGGTGCGCAACAGCTCGCCTAGGGGGATCTCCTGAGTCGTGCGTTGGCTTCCTCCTCGGGCCCCTTGAGGGCGACACTGCAGGCCCAGTATGAAAGGGCTCCCACCTGAGATTCTTCTTCCCACTTCACTCACAGACGAGGATCCTGCTTGACACTTCCCTCACATTCAGGTCCGAGGAACCCAACAGCGACGACAATTACATGTTTTGGATGACCCGCTCCGGATTACTAACGTGAGCCGCGTCGCAATTCACTCACTGACGAGGCTCCCGCTCGATACTTCCCCCATATTCAGGCCTCAGGAACGCAAAAGCGACGACAAGCACAAGTTAATTGATGGTCCGCTCGGAATACGAACACGATCTGCGGGCACCACGGGGAGGAGGCTCCCGCCTGCGACTTCCTCGCAGTTCACTCACACACGAGGCTCCCGATCGAGACTTCCTCAAAAGAGTCTTTGTGCGTGCGAGGCTGAGCGGAGGAATGTGTGCAATGCTGATGATGCTGGTGATGATGCTGGTGATGCTGATTGTAGCGGTGATGATGGCAAACGATGGTCGATGATCATGTTGGGGTCGTGATAGTGATAATGATGATGACGACGACGATGATTGGCGGTGTGGTAGTGATGCAGATTTTGATGATGAGTGTTGGGTGAGATTGATGAGTGACTGAGCCAGTGACTTTCGAGTAGATGAACGAGTGCAAATGATGATGCGTATTTTAATGCGGATGATAATGAGGATGAGGATGAGGATCACGACCATGATGGGATGGTGACAGTGACGATGATGACGATGGTGGTGCGAGGATGATGATGCAAAATGTGGGGACAATCGCAGGCTGTTCTCAACACCGGGATCCCGCATTCGATCTCCCATCTTACTGCACGCGCAGCGCTACATGATCGCTGCAACGATGACTGGCCAATGCTTTTGTCTACGCCTAGTCTATCATTTGCATGTCTTAAGCTTGGTGGCTCGACATTTTGATATGCGCAATGATCACACATATGGCGGTGGGTGCCTGTCTTGAACGGGGCCTATCGCTGTACACGCCCTTGAGCTGTACAATCTTGTCGCGTGGCGCTCCCTAGGGCCTTTGCCTAAAACAACATCCCGTGTGGCGCTTGTGTGTTCACGGAGGATGCCAGAACGTCTGACGTAACCTCTTCATCCTCACGACTGCTGCTGAAGAGCTCACCTCTGATTCCCTTCAAGTGATGGTGCCGAGAGGATAATCAAGGCATGGACCATTGCAAAGAGAGGGGGGAGGCGGGCAGCAAGAGGAGGAAGGAAGGAAAGGATTGCCGCTTTTGTCTGCGGCGAGCAGCATCAAACAAGGAAGCACAAAAGTCATGCTACACTGTGAAACCTCTGCGACACTGCGCGCTCGTGACCACTGCTGCAGCCGGCGTGTACGCCGTGTGGCAACATCAGATCCGTGGAACGCCATCGCGCTCAATGAGGGCGCAGCACTTGGCATGAAGGAGAGGGTTCTAAGGGAAACAGGTCCTGGACCCCAGGGTTAGGTCGGGCGTGCCCCTCTACAGGCGGACTTTGGTCGAAAGATTAGAACAATCATTGTCAAACATAATAGAAACATCGTTCCCATACTATTTTTACTATTTTTGAACCTCCCTCCTGTAGAGGGACACGCCCGACTTAACCCCAGGGCCTTCCACCACGGGCCACTTCCTCGTCCTCAAATGTGTTTGCTCGACGGTCCCAGGACCTGTCGAGGGCCCCAGGATCGAAAAATTGCAAGCAAACAAGAAACCTCCAGGCCTGAGGGGATCGACCCAGGGGGGGGCACATCGACCTGGAGTCGGCGATACATCACCGAAAGATCGGCGACGACCCCCCGATAGCCAATCCTCTGCTTGGGCGATGCGGAGTCGACGAGTTCCCCCCTGAGGTCTATCCCCCCTGGGACGTCGCCCCTGGTGGCTTTCGGGACATATCTCGGGCCTTTGGCGGCAATTCGGGACGATCCAGCCACCCCCCCAACACTCTCGGCGAGGCGCAACTGCTGGAAAACACACCGGGGATAGAGGCCCTACGAGAACATGACCACGTCCACATGCCTCTCAAAGACGCACTGACCCGGGTCACTCCGAACCTGGGTCAGTCGCGCTTAGCAAGTTTCTGCAAAATCCTGCACGATCCTGCAAGATCCTGAACGCAAGCCCAGGTCAATACGCCCCTGGCTCTGCAGGATCCTGCAAGATCCGGCGCTCTGGCTGACCCCCGTTTGCATTGACCCCCGTCTCTTGAGCCTCGAACCTCGGCGGGGGACCGGTTGTTGTAACAGCGACTGCGGCGTGCATCCGCCAGGGTGCGTCCGCGCCGCCAGCGCATCAGTTCGGCGTCCAGGCTACCCCACTCAATACGATCGTTAACGTTGCCAGGGGGAATGATGGGGGGGCCTGGGTAAGGGGCGCTACCCTGGGGAGGAGCACCTTCCCGGATAGCTCCTTGTAGAGCTACAAGGTCTGGAGATTAAAAGCCAACACCACAAAATAATTAGCCCGGGAGCTCGTTCCAGCTTCTGGCAAGGAACCTCGCTGCGCCTCGTTGTAATATGCCTGGAAGGCCGTTTCTGACTGTTTCCCAGCACGCGTCCCGCCAAGCTCTCCAGAAGCTCATTCCCAGCGCTTCCAGGGCTCCGTCGGAGGACCTTCCAGAAGCTCCTGCGGCCTCGCTATACCCAGGTTTTGGACAGCACGAGCCCAAACCCCCGACGCCATGATTCTTTCGTGACGTCGACCCTGAGAGGTCTCGACCTGTTTCCGGGGACCGGTTTCTCATCCCGAGTAATGTTTGACGGTCCCCTGGCCCGGCAAGGGCCCCCAGAGGCCGAAGATGGTGAAAAACCTCAGGTCATATTTGTTCATTACTCGAGAGGGTCTGGGATCGGCAGCCGCCAAGAGGGGGGCACCCAAAAGGAGGGGGGCGCAAATCATGGCCGGCGGCACGTGCGCGGCCCAGGGGGGGGCGAGGACGCATTTCTTGAAATGAGAAGAGGCGCCATGAAACCTGGAGAAACGTCCTGGCCCACGCCATGCTTTCCACCCCCCCTCCAGTCATCCCCCCCCTCTCTTGGCTGGCCCCGAGGGTCTGGGAGCCCAGACCCCCGACGCCATGATTTTTTCATGGCGTCGACCCCAGAGCTCTCGACCCATTCCCCAGGACCGGTTTCTCATCCCGAATCATTTTTAATTTGCGAGTTCCAATGCTTGGTAAGGGCCCCCAGAGGCCGAAAATAAGGAAAAACCTCCTTCGTGATTCTTTCAGTCATCGAGAGGGTCTGGGATTGGAGGCGGCCAAGAGGGGGCGCAAATCATGGCCTGCGGCATGTGCGCGGCCCAGAAGCGGCGCCATGGAATCTGGAGAAATACCGTACATCGACAAAATGTTGCACCACGTTTGCTGTGCATTGGCACCTGTACTGCATTGCTCTTGCCCCCCCCCCTTTCCCCCGATCTTAATATTGGGTGCATGGCGAAGGGCCCCTGTTCCGCCCGGGGGCTCCCGACAAAATGTTGCACCACCGAGCTGTTTCGACCAGCCCAGACCGAACCTAATATTAAGATCGGGGGGGAGGGGGGGGAAACAAACGATTGATATAACAGCGGTGCGATTTATTGTCAGCGCCAGGTGGTGCAACATGTTGTCGATGTACCGTATCATGGCCCACGCCATGATTTCCCCCCCCCCCAGTCTGGAGGCCTCCTAGATGGGCTCGGAGTAGATGGGGTCGGGGGATCGCGCCGCATCGCCGATATATCGGCGATACATCGGCGATGCACGGCGATGCACCGGCGATGCATCGTCGACGTCGGCGATGCATCTGCGACGTCGACGTGCAGCAATTCGGACTCCACATCGAGCCGCGTCGGCGATGCATCGGCAATGCGGCGCGATCCTCCGACCCCATCTACTCCGACCCCATCCTTAGACAGTCATCAACCCCCTCTTGGCCGCCCCCGAGGGTCTGGGAGCGACGCTCACCAGGCCTCCGCGGCCGGGGAGACCCCTACTCTCAGGCCTACGGCGCCAGGAACGCGCCGGCCTGCGGCGGGGGGGCGGCATATGCCCGGCACGCCCCCGGGGGAGCGGCCGCGCCGCCGCCTTGCTCTTCTCCTCTTCCTCCTTGTCCTTTTCCTCCTCGTCCTCCTCCTCCACCTCCCCCTCCTCCTCCTCCTCCTCCTCCTCCTCCTGCTCCTCCTCCTCCTCCTCCTCCTGTTTCTTTTCCTCCTCCTCTTCCTCCTCCACCTCCACCTCCTCCTCCTTCACCTCTTCCTCCTCCTTCTCCTCCTCCTCCTCCTCCTGCTCCTCCTCCCTCGTGCACCGTACCGCTCTTGGACTCCCTTCAGGCCTGGTTCCAAACGCGGAAGAGTGCACAGCTTGTCAGGCTCTTGGGGATCCAGAAGCCTAGAGCGCACCGTGCCATTCTGGGTCGAGGATCGGCCGTGCCTCGAGGGTCCTACGTGGCACGGTGCACACAACCCGTCCGCGGATGAGGGGGATGAAAGATGCAGGGATCGCCCTGCCTGAACAATGTTTGTCGCTTTCGTTTGGTTTTTGGCTTCCCTCGCCTTCGATCCGCCTATGCTGCAAAACGAAACCGAAACGGACGCGGCCCACGAAATCGCCAGAACACCGTTCGGGTCGACCCCATAGAGGTGAATGTGCTGCGGCCGGAGACGGAGGACTCCGGCGCGGGTCCTGGACCCCGAGGCCTTCCCCTGAGGACCACTTCCGCGTCCTCCACCGAACTCGTCGACGGACCCGGGGCCCGTCGAGGGCCCCAGGAGCATGGAAACACTGCCAAAGATCGGCTCGGACGTAAGGTCGGGGGCGCGCAGACATGGATTAGCGATCCATGGAATTGGCGCGCGGTCGCCAAATCCCTGGATCGGGGGAGGGGCCCTCCCCAAAATGCGGCCAGTGCCGCCTCGTTCGGCGGCGGAAATCAACGATCTCATATGGAAACGGGACCCGTCTCTAATCCACGCACCCTTGATCCATGTTTGCGATCGCCTGAGTAAGGAAGGCCCCGAAAAGCAAAGGGAGGTCATCGAACCAGCTCGTGCAGCTGTTGCTCCCGGCGCCTCCCGGCGCTGCGAGGCGTCCTGTGAGTACGGAGGACGGCGTCCAATGGCGGGCGCCGAAACCAGCTGCACGCAGCAGATGTCGTGCAGCCCCCCTGTTTCCCCATCCCCCCTTCCGTCCGACCCGATCCTGGGAGGGGGGACAATGGGGGACGGAGGGGGAGGGGGAAGGGGGAGGCGGACTGGTTGCCTGCCTGGCTGGGGCAGACAGTGGATTGATCGACTATTGTCCCAGCCTTCTTGGGCCTGGCTCTTCGCAGAAGCGCCCTGAGCGTGCTTTGGTTGCACCGTTCTGTATGTTGGGTTATGGACAAGCTAAACATGTAGACAAACAAACCAACAAACAAACAAACAAACAAACAAACACACAAACAAACAAACAAACAAACAAACAAACAGATGAACAGATGAACAAAAAACGCAACGGCTGTTTAGCGTTCTTACCTCAATTGTTTTCGCATGTTCAGGGCCGTCGCTGTGGATCATCATCTCTGTTAGCGCTGTTTGCTTTCTGGTCGAAGGCTGTTCCTTGTCTTCCGTGCCGTCTTCACTCTGATTTTCCGGTTCTGCCACCGCTCTCCCTCGCAGAGCAAAAACCACTCAAAAACGCAGAACAACAAAATCGGCCACACGCCAGAGTGACCCTGGGTAAGAGTGACCTTTGGTGCGCGGCTTCTTGGGGGTCGCGGGGAGACCAAACCTGGGCGCGCAAGCCGCTGCTACCGCTCCGTTTTCAGCCATCCGAGGGCTCCTCTGTGGCCGCACCACAGGCCACTCCAGCGAAAGGTCACTCCTACGTCAAGCCGACAAACACACAACAAAACACGATTTAGCACCGGTCCCGAAACAGGACCGGAGGCCCGACCTCGGGGAACAAAAAGTGGCATAAACATAAAAACTCAGAGGTCCGCGCGGATTTCTCGGATCGGCGCTGGACCCCCCTCCCTGGCGCGCTCCGCGCGCCAGGGGCGGCGCAGGAGGCGCCGCCGGGGGGGCCCAGCGCCGATCCGAGAAATCCGCGCGGACCTCCGAATTTTATGTTTATGCCTTATGTCGGGCCTGTCCCCCTACAGGGGGATTTTCCGCAAAAAAATACCCCCAAAATACTCCAAAAATAATCCAAAGGTAGTCTGGGGACTGTTTTTTAGCATTTCTTGGCCATCTTGGAATATTTTTGGAGCATTTTTTCTTCTTCGTCGACAGTCCCCCTGTATGGGGGACAAGCTCGACTCAACGATGGCCCCAAGAGGGGGCAGGCGGCCCTCGGGGCCCGGAGGCCGGGCGCCCCCCAGGTGGGGCCGCGAGGGGACGGCGAGCCGTCGGGCGCCTCGGACCGAGAGAGCCCGGGGGGGCCGAGGGCTGCACGCCCAGAGAGAGAAGTGGCCGTACATGGACCATGAAGTCGAACCCTTACACGTTCGAGGGAGCTCCTGAATCACCCCCCCTCCTCCTCCTCCTCCTCCTCCTCCTCCTCCTCCTCCTCCTCCTCCTCCTCTGTGGAGCTCCTCCGTGCCAGCCAAACGTGTGTAGCAGGGAGTGTGAGTTGGGCCGCGCTTGGGCGCCGCCGTCTCCGCCGTGGCTCGGGCCCGGACATCAAAATGCGGATCTCCGTAAAAAGGCGGTGCTTCGGGGTTCGAGTATGTCTGTCCACTCACGCCCCCCCCCCGTCGCCACGCCATCCATATTGATTTCGGGGGGTCTGGGGGGCATCTTTGGCCACAGGGTTCGAATAGAATGTCCATGTACTGGAGGACGTATATGCTCATCTGAAAGCACAAGAAGAAGCCGTAGCTAAATAGTCAAAGCATGATCAGGTGCTGTTGTTTGCAGCTTTAGTTGTCATGCTGGGACCTGGAACTCTACACGCCGGATCGTCTCGGAAAGGTTTTAGTTGCTGTGAAAGTAAACCTGGGCAGATCGGACAAATAAGAAAAACTAAGTCGCTGGGGGGGGGGGCCAGGGGTACAATCAGACCAAAGATAGACGAACATCCTTCAAGAGCATGAGACCCTTCGCCGGCTAAAATGAAGAATATTTGAAGGTGGTTTCCCCAGGATGCACAAGAAGACCCAACAAACACGAAGAACATTACGGCACCCTCCCCGAACAGGAGGCAGAGTTCTGGGTGGCAGAGAGTCCCTCGTCCTCCTCCCCGTCCTGACTGGTGCTACTTGTCGTCCTCGTCCTCGGCCTTCTCCTCCTCCTCCTCGTCCTCCTCCTCCTCCCTGATCGTCCTCCTCCCAATCCTCATCCTCCTCTCTGCTCCCCGTCCTCTGGAGTCCTCGACACGTCGTCGGAGAAGTGGGGCCGCGCGTGTAAGCGCCTTCCCTTTGCCAGATGGCATCACATTCCAACAGTCCTCGAGACGTCGTCGGAGAAGTGGGGCCGCGCGTGTAAGCGCCTTCCCTTTGCCAGATGGCATCACATTCCAACCTTAGTCCTACGTCGTGCCACTCTTGATTCCTGTGCTGTGGGAGGGGGGGGGGTCGGAACAGGCGGTGCCCTCTGACTCGCTCGGCCGGGCTAAGTCGGTCCTCCTCCCTGCTCCCGCTCTTCCTCGAGCCCGCTCTCCGCGTCCTGCCACCACAAGCCCGCCGCTCGCGCGCCCACTGTGCCAGACACCCCGATTGCCCAATCGTGTCTCGCCCGCGGCGTCCGACTTACACAACGAAGCGCCCTCCCCGCCTCGGCCACTCCATAAGCCGCGCCAAGCAGCACGTGCCCGAGCGAATTGCAGTCTACGCTCACCGTGCTACCTTTGAGTAGCAGCGCCCCCTTCTCCGGCGCAAGGGCGGTGTGCGACCCCCCCTCCTTTGAAAAGAGGGGGGAGGTCCGGAATCCTCTCACCCTCCTCTCCGCCGCACAGGTGGGGAAGGGGGCGGGGTCCGACCCCCCCCCCCCCTTTGAAAGGGAGGGAAAGGGGGGGGGGGGGCCGAAAGCACCCCTCCTTGAAAGGGGGGAGAGGGGGTCCCGTTAGCACACGACACCTTTGCAAGTATGGGGGCACCAAGTGGCACGCTTTCGGAATCGCCCTCAGTCGACCATACCTTTGGCGGCCCAAGTACCATACCTGCGACGTCTCGGGGATCGTCGAGCTCCCAGGAAAGACACTTCTAAACTGCCCCAACAAGAGGTTCGATCTCAGTGCGAACGGGGCTGTAAGATGCCCATGGTCGACATCCCCTTGGGTTGCTCAATCTCATGCCAGCTACATATTGGTGACCATGACGCTCGAGAGAGATAGTACTCTACTTGGCCACGGCAAGGGTCTGAGTCTGACCAAGTCTCAGCATGAGTGAGTCCGAGTACAAGCGTTACTAAGTGTGAGCGCGTCTGGGTATGATCGATACGGGCGTGCGTGCGTCGTTGTATGAGTGGGTATGAGTGTAGGTCTGAGTTTGACCGAGTCTGAGTATGAAGGGGGGAGCAAACTGGAAGGAACAAGAGGACTGAGGTGGAGGTATCACGCGAATAACAAGATACCCATCCTTAGGATATTGGGAATTACCCGCCCCTTCCTCATGCGTCCAACCCATACCTCCTCACTCTGCCCCTCCCCCTGCTCCCTCTTCCCTTACCCCTGTTCATTCCTCCCCGTTTACCCTCCTCACTCACCCTTCCCCATCCTCGCTCACCTCTTTCCATCCCTTCCCCGCTCGCCAAGCACCGCTCACCTCCGCATTTCCCCCTCCGCAGACCCCCTCCTCGCAGGATCCGCCAGAAGCGAATCGTGAAATCCGATCCCATCGGAATGCGTGCTGGATCGGACTGCATCGGCACGGAGTCGAAACCGAGTCGGATCGGGCGCGCCAAGATGCACGCCAACGCCGTGCACGCAGCGAGCCGCCTCGGACCGTGGGAACGGCGGGGCCGAATCCGATGGGCCTGCCGAAACCGACATCGAATCGGAGCGGTCGGATCGAAGTGAACGTCAGTATTAAGTCGGGCGTGTCCCCCTACAAGGGGATGTTCAACGAAAAACGGAAAAATAAACTCAAACATTCTCCACACTGGTAAACAATGCTCAACCTATCATCCCCAGACCATTTTTTGATTGTGTTTGGATATTCCTCCTGTAGAGGCACAGACCCGACTTAACGTTTGTAACGCCGTCGCATTACGTCGAGCAAGCGCAAGGAACCGAGCCCCCCCGTGGAGCCCCGTTCCTTAGACCGTCCGCCCCGACCGAAAAAACGAACCCGCGCGTCCAAAATCGTAAAGAACACTGGGGGGGCTCGCCGCCAAATAGGTAACGGAACGCATGCAAATCTGAGGAACGACCGAGCCCCTTTTGAAAAATAAGTGTTCCTTACTCAAGCCGCTCACTGTAGACATGCACAGCTGGACCTGTGCCAGAAGAGCCCTCCCTCCATAACGTGAGGCCCTCCGTCGGCAAAGGCCCACGCAGAGATCATCCGCGGGTGCCCTCCCCACGGGTTGCACAAGAGCATCCAACACACACGAAGAACACGAGGGCAGCCTCCCCGAGCCGATCTCGATCGTCTACCTCGGTCCGCCTGGAATCGGCGATGCATTCCGATTGCCGATCTGATCTGGACCCTTCCTGGAGCCTATTGTTTGTTCTCCCCGATCACGGGCGTCATCGGGGGAGGGGGGGGAATTCGCCACCCCCCGATCACACTACGTCGGGGGGCCGCCAGAAAATATAGGACATCCTCGAACGATCCGTGGGAAGTGTCTTTGCACATGTGGGCAAGATAGCGTGACGTCATCGTGGGACGGGGGGGGGGCAGGCAAGCAGGCAGAGGGCCCAAACACGGCCGCTCTCGCCCAGACCTCCAACACAAGAGAGGCCTCCTCCTGCTCCTGCTCCTGCTCCTGCTCCTGCTCCTGCTCCTGCTCCTGCTCCTGCTGCTCCTGCTCCTCCTCCTCCTCCTCCTCCTCCTCCTCCTCTTCCTCCTCCTCCTCCTCCTCCTCCTCCTCCTCCTCCTCCTCCTCCTCCGCCTCCTCTTGTTCCTCCTCTTGTTCCTCCTCCTCCTCCTGCTCCTCCACCTCCTCCTCCTCCTCCTCCTCCTCCTCCTCCTCCTCCTCCTCCTCCTCCTCCTCCTCCTCCCCTCTTACTCCTCCTCCTCCTCCTCCTCCTCCTCCTCCTCCTCCTCGTGGGCGGGGTGGGCCGTCAGGCGCCAATCGGCGATCCATGGGAGATCTCGTTCGGGGACCGAGGCGCGCCGCACCTTCAGCCTGCCCCCCCCCGAATCCCACCCAGAGGGAGGAGGAGGAGGAGGAGGAGGAGGAGGAGGAGGAGGAGGAGGAGGAGGAGGAGGCCTCTCTTCTGTTGGAGGTCTGGGCGATTTAGCGGCCGTGATGGGGCCCTCTGCCTGCCTACCTGCCTGCCCCTCCCCCATCCCCCCCCTACGTTGCCCCCCTTGCCCCTCCACCCCTCCCCGTGGCTCGTGGGCGAAACGCCCATCGAAGACGAAACCAGGACGAGGGTGTCATCGGGCGAGGGCAGATCTCGAGAATCTCTGGGGTCCTGCGGATCTGGAGGATGTCTCGGGCCCCGCGGCCTTCTCAGAGCCTGCTGGAACGCTCTGAACGGACTTCTCGTCCCAGCCCCGCCCGGCTACGACCGTCCGTATCCGCGGGCTCGCGGGCCACCCGCGGATACGGGGCATTTTTGTTCGCGGATGCCCCGCGCGGAACGTATCCGTGCGACCGCGTATACGCGGGATCGCGCCCGGGAATCCAGACCGCGAGGGCGCGGATACGGACATCGCCGCTCGTGAGTGGCCGACTGGGGGTCGATACGCCCCCCCCCCTCCCCTGAGCCTGTCCCCCCTCCCCCCCACGTTGCCCCTCTCCTTCGCTCCTCTTCCCCGTGGCCTCCGAGCAGGCGGATGGCCGCAAGACGGGACTGTTCATGCCTGGCAGGATGTGGCATTTGGGGGGCAGGTGGTTTGCCAGGCGTGGATTGTTTCTGATCGGTACCCAGGAGGCGAGGTTTCCGCGGAGTGGGGTCTAGGTGGGCAAGACTCCAAGACCATGCTATCCATGCTCAGTGTGCTTCTCCTTCCTCTGCCTTTACTCCTTTTCGCTATCTTTCCAGAACAAGAGCCCGTGGCTTGTTAGGAGCACGGGATCATTCCCCAAACCCCCGTTCGACGACGACCATGGAAAACCCAAGAGGTAATTACGAATACCGCTACTCCGCGGACCTCTCCTGGTGTGCGTTCTGACCAGAATTTCGAGGCGAGTCCAGCGGTGGCGACGAGGGCCTCCCAGGAGGCCGAAAAAGGGGAAAACGGGGTGACGGGCAGCGGTCCCAGACCCCCGAGGTCATGATTTGTTCATTGCGTCGACCCCTCGAGGTCTCGACACATTCCTCGGGACCAGTTTTTCATGCTGAGTCGTTTTTTGACGGTCCCGAGGCCCTGTAAGGACCCCTCGATGCCGAAAATAGCGAAAAACCTCCCGTCGTGACTTGTTCATTGCTCGAGGGGGTCTGGGGTATGGGTACCCTTCCCTCCTCCGGGACTCGGGGGCGCGCAAACATGGATTAGCGATCCATGGATTTGGCGCGCGGTCGCCAAATCCATGGATCGGGGGAAATGCCCTCCCCAAAATGCGGCTGGTGCCGCCTCGCTCGGCGGCCGAAATCCGCGATTTCCCATGCAAACGGGACCCTTCGCTAATCCACGCTCCCTTAATTCATGTTTGCGATCGCCTGAGAGACAGCGACCCCCCTCGTGGCCTCTGCCCCCCCGCGCCCTCCCACTCGGGGGGAACGAAAGGGGGGGATAGCAAAGGGTAGGGTAGAGACTCAGCTCGCGTGGCTGATTTTCCCAGCGCCTCCCGGCGCCCCGAGGCGCCCATGTGTCGAGGAATGGGCCAGGCGGCGGGGCCGAAACCAGCTGCGTGTAGCAGATTTCGTAGCCCCCCCATTCCTTATCCCCCCCTTTCGTTCGGCCCGACCCACGCCCTCTGGTAAGGGGACAAAAAAGTGGAACCCCTTCGTCGTCGGCCCCGCAGTCGCCCCCCCCTCCCCCCAATCCCACCAGCCCTCTGGGCGTAGGTGGTTCCGGGAGTTTTTCCTTCCAACCTCCTTCATCCCTTTCGGGGAGGGGTTTACCCCTCCCCCTAACCCCCTCCCCTGGACTTGGACGGGGGGCGCCGCTGGTAGTTAGAGCGTCCAAAACGGCCTCGACGAGGAAGCCAAAATCATTGGTTTTACTCGGGTTTTGGCCTCATGTTGGCCTCTTGCGGGGGCAAGGCTAATGAACCCCACCCTCTTCTTTGATCGATCTCCTCCAAGATGGCCACAAGAGGCGCCCAGGAGGCCCCAAGAGGCTTCCAAAAGGCCTCCAAAAGGCCTCCAAGAGGCCCCAAGAGGCCGCCATGAGGCCCCAAGAAGCCCCCAAGAGGCTCCAAGAGGCTCTCAGGATGGTTCCAAGATGCCTCCAAGAGGCTCCACGAGGCCGCCATGAAGCTCCAAGAGACCCCCAAGAGGCCCCAAGAGGCCTCCAACAGGCCCCCAAGAGCCCCCCAAGAGGATCCCAAGCGGCCTCAAGAGGCCCCCCTGAAGCACCCAAGAGGCCAAGAGCCCCCCATTGACCGCCAAGAGACCCCCAAGACGCCCGAAGAGGCTTCCAAAAGGCTTCCAAGAGGCATCCGAGCGGCATTCAACCATCCATCCAGCGTCATCATGCTCCTCATCCCTCCTTCGCTCGGTTCCTCGCCACCCCCTCATCTATCCATCTGGCCTCCTCTTCCGCCTCATCCTTTGCACGGATCGGCTGTCCCTCTCGTTGCTCCCCCACTTCCCTGATCTCTTCAACTTGCCTGGACATCGTTTCTGGATGGGCTGGTGGGGATACTTTTTTGATTCGCGGCCCGCAAGGAGAAGTCCAGAGGGCGGGGTGACCGAGGCTGGGGCACAGCGACAGATAATTGGCGCGACACCGCGCAGAGTGAACCTGCAGATAATTAACGACGCTGGACATGTGCCAGCAGTTGGTGGGGATACGCGAAGCGTCAAGAATTTCGAAGTTGGGTTCGGCCTCTCGAAGGCCCTGGGGGGTCCACTTTCTTTTTAACCTCTCACGCCTGTGCTGCCACATGCTTGAGACCAACTTTGAAATTGGGGGGGAGGGGGGGGGGCGTGGTGTCAAGGGTTCCACTTTTTTCTTCATCTGGGGCTCCCAGCTTCGCGTTTCGCGCTCCGCGAAGCGCGAATAACTTCGCGCTCTCGCGCCGCCCCCCCCACCCCCAAAGGGAGAAAAAAGGAGGAGGAGGGGGAGCTCTAGGAGGAGCGAGGACCGCGAAGCGCGAAGAACTCCGCGCCCTCGTGGGAGCCCCTGTTATCCCCCGCGTTCGCTCGGCCCGACCCGCGCCCTCCCTCCCCCCCCGCGATGGGGCGCCGCGGCGGCCCGGCCTCCGCTCCCGCGGTGCGCTGCCGGCCCGCGCGGCGGCCGTGCTCGCTGGCCTCCCCGCGGGCCCTCCCCTCCCCCGAGCTCTCGCCGCGGGGAGGGGGAGAGGAGGAGGGGGAGGGGGAGGGAGGAGGAGGAGGAGGGGGAGGAGGAGGAGAAGGAGGAGGAGGAGGAGGGAGGAATAAGAGGAGGAGGAGGAGGCGGAGGCGGAGGAGGAATAAGAGGAGGAGGCGGAGGAGGAGGAGGCGGAGGAGGAATAAGAGGAGGAGGAGGCGGCGGAGGAGGAGGCGGAGGAGGAGGCGGAGGAGGGGGGCGTCCCCGAGCCCTCGCCGCGGGGAGAGGGAGCCGGGCACAGTCCCAGACCCCCTCGAGCAATGACAAAAATCACGACGGGAGGTGTGTAGCAATTTTCTGTCTCTGGGGGCCATTTTGGCGTCGCGCACAAGGGGGTAGAGGGAGGGGGGAGGGCTTCTTAGAAGGAGGCTGCTTCTTAGAATGCGCCGGCCTTACATCTATAGATAAGGCCCGCGCCTTCTAAGAAGCAGGGGTGCTGCTGAGAAGCCCTCGCCCCTCCCTCCACCCCCCTCTGCGCGTGGCTGACCCTTACCAGGCCTCAGGAGCGTCAAAAACAACTCGGAATGAGAAACCAGTCCGGGGGAACAGGTCGAAACCTCTGGGGGTCGACGTTATGGAAAAATCATTACGTCGGGGGCCTGGGGTAGGAGCTCGACCACAAGAAACCTTCCACAAGAAACACTGAGACCCCAGGTCGTCCGTTGATTTTTGGTGTGGGAGCGTCACGCTTTCCATCACAAAACCATTTAAACCCAAGAATCCCAGGGCTCCCTGGAGACAAGCAGCGTGGTTCTTGGCATGGGCTTCCACTATAAGACGAGACCGGGACCGGACCCAGACCCACCCTCACTATGAAAACAAATCACGGCGGGAAAATCTTCGCTACACTCGGCCTCTGGGGGGCCCTTTTCCGGGCCTCGGGACCGTCAACAAAATTGCTCAGATTGAAAGACCAGTCCAGGAAAAGGGGTCCAGACCTCTGGGGGTCGACGTTGTGAAAAAATCACGACTGCGGGCTGGGGACGACGCCAAAGACGGATAAGGGTACATCGAGAATCTGAGATCCGGCGGCCCTGGAGGATGTATTGAGCGCTCTGGAACGCTCTGGAACGGATTTTATCCATGTCCCAGCCCAGACAAATCAGGGGGAGCCAGGGAGCTTCTGCGGACCTGATTTCGACCAGCTGTCGTCCAGAGTTCGGCAACCCCTCTTCACTCTTTCGCCCCAGACTTCGTCCAGACTTCGATCCCCCAGGTCGACCAAATCCGACGAAATCCTGAGGCTCCCCTATGAAAGGCCACACAGGGGAGTGGCGTGGCATGGGGGCACGAGGGGAGGATGAGATGCTCCCTGGGGCCTTCATGGCTCCATGGAGCCACTCGACATGCTCATGTGAAAAAACGCTGCGTTGGGCTGACAGGCCCGCCGCGCCAAACGGGGCCCTTCAACCCGAAAGGCCCAGAACCGAGGACTCAGCCGAATGAGCTGGACTAGCCAGACTACAAACGAGATGATTACCAGCCTGGAACATATCCCTATCCCTATGCTGGGCATCTCCTCATCATCTTAGGGATTCCCTTATTTTTTGAGGGCGCATCCCTAAGATTGTCATCGCTTTTTGTCGTGTCAATCTTAGGGATAGGGATCAGTTCGAGGCTTGTAAAAATAGGCCGCATTGACAAGCTGGTGTTCGGCCACGGACCTGCCAGCGCCGAAGTTGAGCTGGACCTCCGAGGAGTTGCCCCATGACGAGGGGTGGGGAGGGGACGCGGGGACACGAGGGGAAGGTGCGTGTGAAGGGGCCCCAGGACACACAAATAAATACACACAAATGAAAAGACCCCCCCATGTTTTCACATATGTTCTGGGTTTCTGTCTTCCCCCCCACTGCCCATATTTTCCCACATTTTCTGGGAATCGACGATTAATTGTGTCTGTGTGTTTTTTCTCCTCCTGAGAGAGGAAGGTGTGGCAGGATCGGTCAGCATCGGCTCGGAACCTTCGCCGGATCGGGCGGCATCGGCGCGGAGCCGGAATCGAAATCGGAACGGCCGCGCCATAGACGCACAACACCGCCACGCACTCCTCGGGCCGCACCGGGTCGTCGGAATTGACTCGGATCGGGCAGACTGGGATCGATACCGAATCGGATCGATTGGATTCGACATGGGCCCTGACGCAGTGCAGACTGGTGGCGTTAGGTCTGCCATGTCCTCCTACAGGCGAATGATGGACAACGAACAAAACATGAGTCAACAATATGCTCTAAAATTGTTAATAAATGGTCGACAGTTCGTCCCCGGACTATTTTTGGACTATTTCTGAATATTCCTCCTTTAGAAGAGCAAGCCCAATTTAATGGTGGTGCGAGGTCCTTCGCTGGTGCTTTGCTCCCTCCACGCGGACGCGCTGGCCAAGAGAAAGATGAGCACAGCACTCTCGTCCACGGGCGGCTACTGAAGCGGCAGCCGGCTGCCCCGCGGGAGAGGCGGGAGGTTGAGGGAGGGGTCCACTCTGCGGACGCGCCCAGACAATGTTCGAGGCCGTGGCATGTCCACATACATGATCACATATGAATATACACAGATGTGTGTATGTATGTATGTATGTTTGTATGTATGTATGCATGTATGCATGCATGCATGTATGTGTGTATGTATGTGTGTATGTATGTATGTATGTATGTATGTATGTACGTACGTACGTACGTACGTATGCATGTATGTATGTATGTATGTAGGTATGTATGTGTGTGTATGTATGTATATAGGTAGGTAGGTAGGTAGGTAGGTAGGTAGGTAGGTAGGTAGGCATGTATGTATGTATGTATGTATGTATGTATGTATGTTTGTATGTATGCATGCATGCATGCATGCATGCATGCATGCATGCATGTATGTATGTATGTATGTATGTGTGTATGGGTGTATGTGTGTATGTGTGTATGTGTGTATGTATGTGTGTTTATGTATGTATATATGTATGTATGTATGTATGTATGTATGCATGCATGCATGCATGCATGCATGCATGTATGTATGGATGTATGTATGTATGTGTATGTATATATATATATACAGGCATCGAGCCACATGTCCATGAAACTATACATGTACATGTACGTATGGCAAGTCCGTCACCGGGCTCCTGCTCCTCCTCCTGCCCAAACCTCCTCTCACAAATCCCCCCTATTCTTTCTATCTTCCCCCTCGCACTGATCATCCTCGTCTTGCGCCGAGTGCCAGCCGCGGCCATGGCGGACCCGTTGGCCTTCCGGGGGGCTGCCCTGCGCTTTGGTCCCTTGCTGGCGGTCACCTGTACAACTTGAGGAGCAAAACAATACATGACACGCAGAACTTCCGAGTCCCACGCGGTTCTGTTGGAACTGTGCTAGAAAAAACATCTCTGGCGAGAGGTGCGCGCTGGGGGAGGCGCCGGAGGCGCCGCCAAGAGATCGGCGCGAAGCTCCGAAAGGGTCTGCGTATGCAGCTGTTTCTTCGAGCAGTACAGGGCAAGCTTAGGCTTAGGCTTAGGTCGGTCATGTCCCCCCACAGGCGGATCTTGGATGAGCAGTAGACTGATTTTAAGGAAGAAAAAGAGAAAACACCCCGAATGGCCAAAAATAGTCGAAACATAGTCCCCAGACTATCTCTTGACTCTTCTTGTATCTTCCTCCTGCAGAGGAACAGGCCCGACTTAACGCTACTCCCCGAATTTTTCTCCAGGGGTGCGGTCCGACCAAAATGTCGAGGCGGATCCAGCCGCGGTGGCGACGGCAGGGCAGCGGCATCGGCGCCTCTCCCCCCCCCTCTGAGCCGGAGATCGGCGGTGGACAAACCTCCCTTCAGCAAACCTCCCTCCTTAGTGAAAACGGCCTGGGACCGAAGCCGACGGACCTGGACCCGCCAAAAGCACGACCGCGACGCCCTCTCGCGAACCGAAAACGGCCAATTATTCCTGAATCGACGCGTCAGGGCAGGAGGTCTGTCCACCTCCGAATCTGCCTCCTGCAGAGGGACAAAAGCCCGACTTCAAAGCTCCGGCCGCACGTGTCAGGGTAGGAGGAGGAGGAGGAGGAGGAGGAGGAGGAGGAGGAGGAGGAGGAGGAGGAGGAGGAGGAGGAGGAGGAGGAGGAGGAGGAGGGGGAGGAGGAGGAGGAGGAGGAGGAGGCGGACCTGAAAGCTCCGGCCGCACTGTGCCCCCCCGCGGGGTCGCCGCGCCGCCGCGGCAGGCCCCCCGCGCTGGCTGCGGAGGGGGGCCGCCCGCGCGGCTGTGCTGCCTCGGGCCGCCGGACGCGGGCGGCTCGGAACCCCCAGGCGGCGGCACGGGGCGCTGCGGCCCGAAGTCGGAAAGGGCCCCCCGTCCAGAGGGGATTTTGGGACGAAACATTAAAAAAACAATTACTCCGACGGTAGGACCCCGCACGAGAATCTGTTTAGCTTACCCTTTGCCCTTTCCTCCCCCTGGCGGACACCCTCTCCTCTCGCCCCCTGCACTGCCCTCTCTTCCCCCTTCTATTTCTCTTCCTCCTCCTCTTTCTCCTCCTCTTTCTCCTCCTCTTTGACCTCCTCTTTCTCCTCCTCCTCCTCCTCCTCCTCCTCCTCCTCCTCCTCCTCCTCCTCCTCCTCCTCCTCCTCCTCCTCCTCCTCCTCCTCCTCCTCCTCCTCCTCCTCTCGCGCCACCTCCTCCTCGTCGTCGGCCTCCCCCATGCCCCTTCCCTCCTCATCCCCCTGCCTTTTCTCCATGTGCACCTCCCCTTCCCCCTCGTCGGGGCAAGCAAATCCATTTTCCTCAGCGCCGTCGCCGCCTCGGCCAACGCCTCGGGAAGCAGGCCCCATAGGGAGGGGGCTCCCGCCTGAGACTTCCTCGCAACTCACTCACAGACGAGGCTCCCGCTCGAGACTTCCTCCATATTCAGGTCTCAAGAGCCCAAAAGTGACGACAGTTGCACGTTGCGGATGACCCGCTCGGATTCGAACATGAAGTGCGGGCCCCATAGGGGGGGGGGCTCCCGCGTGAGACTTCCTCGCAATTCACTCACAGACGAGGCTCCCGCTCGAGACTTCCTCCATATTCAGACCTCAAGAGCCCAAAAGTACACGTTTCGGATGACCCGCTCGGATTACCAACATGAAGCGCGGGCCCCATAGGGAGGGGGCTCCCGCCTGAGACTTCCTCGCAATTCACTCACAGACGAGGCTCCCGCTCGAGACTTCCTCCATATTCATGCCTCAAGAGCCCAAAAGTGACGACAATTACACGTTTCCAATGACCCGCTCGGATTCGAACATGAAGTGCGGGCCGGCCTGAAATTTCCTCGCAATTCACTCACAGACGAGCTCCCGCTCGAGACTTCCCCCATATTCAGGCCTCAAGAGCCCAAAAGTGACGACAGTTACACGTTTCGGATGACCCGTTCGGATTACCAACCTGAAGTGCGGGCCCCATAAGGAGGGGGCTCCCGCCTGAGAGTTCCTCGCAATTCACTCACAGACGAGGCTCCCGCTCGAGACTTCCTCCATATTCAGGCCTCAAGAACCCAACAGTGACGACAGTTACACGTTTTGAATGACCCGCTCGGATTACCAACATGAAATGCGGGCCCCATAGGGAGGGGGCTCCCGCCTGAGACTTCCTCGCAATTCACTCACAGACGAGGCTCCCGCTCGAGACTTCCTCCATATTCAGGCCTCAAGAGCCCAAAAGTGACGACAGTTACACGTTTCCAATGACCCGCTCGGATTCGAACATGAAGTGCGGGCCGGCCTGAAATTTCCTCGCAATTCACTCACAGACGAAGCTCCCGCTCGAGACTTCCTCCATATTCAGGCCTCAAGAGCCCAAAAGTGACGACAGTTACACGTTTCGGATGACCCGCTCGGATTACCAACATGAAGTGCGGGCCCCATAAGGAGGGGGCTCCCGCCTGAGAGTTTTTCGCAATTCACTCACAGACGAAGCTCCTGCTCGAGACTTCCTCCATATTCAGGCCTCAAGAACCCAACAGTGACGACAGTTACACGTTTCGGATGACCCGCTCGGATTACCAACGTGAAATGCGGGCCCCATAGGGAGGGGGCTCCCGCCTGAGACATCCTCGCAATTCACTCACGGACGAGGCTCCCGCCTGATACTTCGTCAGTAATCAAACCTCAGGAGCGCAAAAGTGACGACAGTTACACGTTTCAGGATGACCCGCTCGGATTACCAACATGAAGCGCGGGCCCCATAGGGAGGGGGCTCCCGCGTGAGACTTCCTCACAATTCACTCACAGACGAGGCTCCCGCCTGGTACTTCCTCCACATTCAGGCCTCAAGTCAGCGAGTAGTGATGATGATGATGATGATGATGATGATGATGATGATGATGATGATGATGATGATGATGATGATGATGATGATGATGATGATGATGATCGTTCGGTGCCGATGATGGTGAGTGATCGTGCGATGGTGATGGTGATGCTGACCTCCTCCTCTCGCGCCACCTCCTCCTCGTCGTCGGCCTCCCCCATGCCCCTTCCCTCCTTATCCCCCCTGCCTTTTCTCCATGTGCACCTCCCCTTCCCCCTCGTCGGGGCAAGCAAATCCATTCTCCTCAGCGCCGTCGCCGCCTCGGCTAGCGCCTCGGGAAGCGGGCCCCATAGGGAGGGGTCTCCCGCCTGAGACTTCCTCGCAATGCACTCACAGACGAGGCTCCCGCTCGAGACTTCCTCCATATTCAAGTCTCAAGAGCCCAAAAGTGACGACAGTTGCACGTTGCGGATGACCCGCTCGGATTCGAACATGAAGTGCGGGCCCCATAGGGAGGGGGCTCCCGCCTGAGACTTCCTCGCAATTCACTCACAGACGAGGCTCCCGCTCGAGACTTCCTCCATATTCAGGCCTCAAGGGCCCAAAAGTGACGACAGTTACCCCTTCGGATGACCCGCTCGGATTCGAACATGAAGTGCGGGCCCCATAGGGAGGGGGCTCCCGCCTGAGACTTCCTCGCAATTCACTCACAGACGAGGCTCCCGCTCGAGACTTCCTCCATATTCAGGCCTCAAGAGCCCAAAAGTGACGACAGTTACACGTTGCGGATGACCCGCTCGGATTACCAACATGAAGTGCGGGCCCCATAGGGAGGGGGCTCCCGCCTGAGACTTCCTCGCAATTCACTCACAGACGAGGGCTCCCGCTCGAGACTTCCTCCATATTCAGGCCTCAAGAGCCCAAAAGTGACGACAGTTACACGTTGCGGATGACCCGCTCGGATTACCAACATGAAGTGCGGGCCCCATAGGGAGGGGGCTCCCGCCTGAGACTTCCTCGCAATTCACTCACAGACGAGGCTCCCGCCTGATACTTCCTCAGCAATCAAACCTCAGGAGCGCAAAAGTGACGACAGTTACAAGTTTCAGGATGACCCGCTCGGAATACCAACATGAAGTGCGGGCCCCATAGGGAGGGGGCTCCCGCCTGAGACTTCCTCACAATTCACTCACAGACGAGGCTCCCGCCTGATACTTCCTCCATATTCAGGCCTCAAGTCAGCGAGTAGTGATGATGATGATGATGATGATGATGATGATGATGATGATGATGATGATGATCGTTCGGTGCCGATGATGGTGAGTGATCGTGCGATGGTGATGGTGATGCTGATGGTGATGATGATGATGAGTGGGGAGTGATGGTGATGGTGATGATGATGCGGAGGAGGAACGGAGGAGGAAGCAAAGAGGACCAGAGGAGAGGGAGGAGGAGGAGGAGATCCTGCGCGGAGGGTGTGCAGAGAAAACAAGAACCCCACTTAGGATGTGGGGAATTAACAAATCGTCAAACAAATTCAAGCATATTCAAAAACACCCAAGCATGTGCAAAACTCATATTCAAAAACACCCAAACAACCCAACATGTTCAACATGCATATTCAAAAACACCCAAACATTTTCAAAAACATCAAAACATATTTGTAAAAACACTCAAACACCCAAACGAATAATACCCCAAACATATAGGAAAATAGTCTGACAAATAACTAAAGATATCGTGCTCTGACCATCTCTTGACTCTTCTTCGATTTTCCTCCTGCAGAGAGGGACAGGCCCGACATGACTGCAGCCCCCCTCGTCCAACAGTCCTGCCAGTCTCCTCAGAGTCGGCCATACGCAAGAGTGGCCCTGAGCAGGGTTGACCTTTGGTGCGCGGCTCTTGGGGAGCCGCGGGGTTGGGGCCGAACCCGAGCGCGCACGACGGAGCCGTCACAGCGAGCATCGGCGATCGGGGGCCCCCGGTGGGCCCGCACCAGAGGTCACTCCGTCGAAAATTTACTCTTGCGACAAAGGCTGGAAGCGTCCCACTTGCCCCCACTTGTCCCCCCCCCCGGCCTCCTGCAGAAGCGAGTCGCCCGTCTCGGGGGGGCTGTCTTCCGTCTTCTGCGACTCGAGCTTGTTGAGGTTGTCCGTGGTCATCTTCCAATCGCTCCCCAACGCCTGGTTGGAGGCCGCCCGAGAGGCAATGCGTCTTCAGATTTCGACGCGTTTGCTTGCACTGAGGGGGGGGCGGCGATACCCAAAATGAACTTTGGACTTCACGCAAGTCTGGACTCCCTTGCACGCGCGGTCGGCCAAGCGTTGTTTGAAAAGGCGGCGGAGGGAGGAGGGGGGGAATGCCATGCAAAGAAACATGCCCAAAGAAAAAACAGCCTCCCAACAAAATCTGGGCAAAGGCCAAAGGATCGGGTCGCCGATGCAGCGGCGACGTCGAAATTGAGAAACTTTGGCTCTGGATCGAGCCGCATCGCCAGTGCGTCGGAAGTGCACTGGTTAGCTGCGGGCGCTGGGTCAGAACCCCGAAGAGAGTCTCCCCAGACCAAAACCCATGGCCCCGGCTCCCGCCCGTGCCCAAAACTGTCAGCGTCGGCGGCTATGCATCGTTGGCGTCGACGCTGGGGTAATCGGTGTCTTCGGGGAAGGCTTGCCCTAGGTCGGGCATGTCCCCCTACAGGGGGATCTTGGACGAAAGATAAAACATACCGCAACAATGCCCCCGAATAGCCGAAAAAGGTCAAAGAATCGTCCCCCGACTATTTCTTGACCCTTCTTGAATCTTCCCCCTGTGGAGGGACACGCCCGACTGAAGCCTCTTGCGAAGGCCTTCTCACTCCCGTACATGGACAATATATTCGAACCCTTACACATTTGAGGGAGATTCTAAATCACCCCCGCGCCCCCGACATCAATGTTGATCTCAGTAAAGGCGGTGCTTTGGGGTTCGAATATTTCTGCCCACTCACGCCCCCCCCGTCGCCACGCCATCAATATTAATTTCGGGGGTCTGGGGGGCATCTTGGGCCACAGGGTTCGAATATAATGTCCATTTACTGTCCCCCCCCCTCGCTCGCCGCCGCGGAAAGCGAGAGAGAGAGAGAGGGGCACCGACGCACGGCGGCTCACCGAGGCCGCCCGCGGTCGCAGCAGGACGCCGCCTCGGACGCTTCGGGGAGGCCTCGGCATCCTCGGAGCCATAGGCTCCCCAAAGACACACGGCGGGGGCGTTGGATAAGGAACCCTTAGATAAAGAATCAAGGGTCTGGAGGCCGGTGGAACTCCAATCGAGACTTGGTCATGGACATCACCGCCGCCCTCATCAGAGAAGAAATCCTCCAGGGTCTGCAGCCTCCTGGGCGCATTCCTTTACCAACGCCCCCCACCGTACCTCGGAGCACGAGGGCCGGGGTACGCAGGCGAATGCGACGACGGGGAGGCCCCTGAAAGCCACGACCTGAGCAGAGCGGCCGTGTCTCATGGCATGTCCGGCATGCGGCCACTGGCGGGTAGGCCACTCAAGACGCGGTCGCGGCTGCCGACGGTGGTAGGCACCCTGGTGCTGTCGGACGCGCTGATGATGCTGCGACTGGCGCTGTGGGGTGTGCATGTGCTGCTGCGCGTGGCGAAACTATATATACCCAGTCGGAATGGATACGATGCTACTGCTGCCAGCGCTGCTGCTGCTGCTGCTGCTGCTGCACGTGGTGCTGCAGCGCGTCGTGATGTGGATCCCAGCCGTGGTGGGCGCAGTTGTGCTGCCGGGTGTACTGGTGCCGCTGTGCGTGGCGCTCCTGGTCCCTGTCGCTTTGGTCACAGCGGGGCTGCTGGTGGCGTTGGGACTCCTGCACTTGGTGCGTGATGGTCACAACACTGGGGCTGCTAATTGGGCTGATGCTGCTGCGCATGGTGTTGCCTTGTACGCTGTTGCTGCTGCTGGCGGTGCTGCTGGTCCCAATCGTGGTGATCAGTGGCGCTGCTGGTGAGCTGGTGCCACTGCGCGCGGCTCCCACGCTGCTGCTCTCACTTATGCATGCTGTCCGCGGCCCTCGTGAAGACGCCGATGCAGGTGCACTCGTAGTCCGAGGTCTCGGCGCTCCCGGAGCAGCGCTCCGCAAATGCTCCACAGAGCTCGGGGCCGGCTCCCGCAGGTGAGCGCTAGTTGCGGGGACGCAGTCCACAGCCTGAGCGGAGCTGAGAACGACGGATGACCTGGCCAGTCCAGAGCACGCTGTAATTACTGGTTATGCCCCGCATTCCTTCCTCGAAGCAATTCAAATCAATTCCAGCGTGCGGCCAGCAGAGTGCAGCCCCCGCAGGAATGGTCGTGGCTGTCGACGACGTGGTAGTCGAGCTGGCGCGGCTTGCTGCACAGATGCTGCTGCTGCGAATGCGCCTGTGGTGCGTTTGTGCTGCTGCGAGTGGTGCTGGCGCCGCTCGTCCAGGTCGCAATAGTCACAGTCGTGCTGCCAGCTGCACTGTCGCTGCTGCGCGTGGCGCTCGTGCTGAGGCTACCACTTGCGGCACTTCCAATCGTGCCGCTCGCGGTCGCCGTCAGGGTGCCGGTGCAGATGTACAAGGAGGTTGGGATGGCCTCAGAGCTCGAGGGCCAGTGTACGCAGGTGCCGGCATTGAGCGCGATGGGAAAGCCAAAGCAATGCCCTAACCAAACCGAAAACAGAGCTGCGGCCGACGGAGGCCACGGCAGGTCAAAGCCTGCTGCGCCAAAGCTTATCCCCTGCGTTCCCGCCCAGAGGCAGCGGCCCGGGGCAGCAGGTAGTCTACTCAGGAGGGCTGCGCAAGGTGCTGCTCGTGGTGACGTTAGCCCAGGTCGCGGTGGTCGCGCTAGCGGTGTTACGCGCGTTGGTTCTGCTCTGCGTGGTGCCGTTGGTCCCAGTCGTGGTGGGCACGCACACAAGCGAACACATTCTTACTGGCGCCGGCGCCGGTGCTGCGGGCGCCCAGAGACTCGCGCGCCTGCGGAATCTACAGGCAGTCCGACTAGCCGGGGCGACGCACGAGAACCATATACGCAATGGCAGACACATCACCCGACACGCACCAGCGGAAACACAACACCAGAGGAGATACACAACGTGCGTGTGTGATCTCGACTGGGTCTTCTGCGACGCGAGCTCTGCTTAAAAATGTAGGGTCAGCGAGGCTTGTCTTCCACCGCTGCCGGGCGGGGATGTATCCATAACCCCCGCCTGGGGGATCGATCCTCGGGGACCTCGG